TACTTCAAGTCACTCCTTGAGGAATACTGTGGATTTAGGTCTTCTCAGTGAACAAATTTGATTTTTAAACGTGGTACTCTTTGTCCTGAATTTCTCAGGTTAAAGAGAGGGGTACTAAAGGATATGAATTGTACATAGCCAGAGGGGGCATTAACCAGACGGCACATTGGGTGATGGTTGTCATTGTTGAAACTTTTGATTGCATCAAGTACATCTAGACCTGATTACTTTTAAGATATTCTTTAAAATACCATCATCTCACCCAAGTATCCACTGGCTACAGAGAATTGCTATGTTCCCAAGATCTGAAAGTGGGTGTTCTGCCATTGGTTTGTGCCTTGAAATGTTCTAATCTTATTAACAGCTTTAGAGAAGGCCAGGTGTGGAGCGAGATTATTCTGAAAATCAATTTAGATAGTTATAGATGTAGGCATCATAATCACAAGACTAAGAGTGCAAAGAAGGCAGCTCATGCTCATGATAGTGTTAGCATGTGCTGGGTCCTGGGCTGGGTGCTATCCGCATATTATATTATTAGTACTCTCAGTGATGCTGGAGAACAGGCACTAGCATCCACTATTTACAGATGTGAAAGCTAAGTTTTTCAAGAGAACACATGGATTTCCCAAATTCACCAAGTTAAAGAGGGACAAGCAACCCAGCATTTGCTTCTGCCTCTGAGCATCCGAGGTTTACAGTCAGAGAGGAATTCTCTGCCCATGAGTTAAACCGTATATTCTTACATCCAACTGAGAAAGCTACTGAGACTCAAAAGAAAAAGTTCCCAGACCAACTTCTGACCTCAGACTGAACTCACTAATCTCCTGCAGCTGCAGAGATAGCATGTAATCCCCCTGAAAAAGAACTAGCCTGAGATGATGGAAGCTGGTCTCAGCAAAAACGGGTCCTCAAGTTTCTGCAGGCTGGATTGCCCTCCAGCAACTTCTTGGGGTTCCTGCCCAGGCATCCAGTTCCTTAGCCCTCTCAGTTGCTCTTCTCAAAAGGTTAGGTGACCTCTGCCATTAACATTTGCTGAGAACTGTGACATCTGTTTATAGATCTCCTCTCTCAGTCGTATTTGCTTTTACAAGTGTCTCTGTGAAAAGAAAGGCTTTGTCTCTTGGGAAAAGGATTAGTCAGGAAGTTGTAAGAGTTTAGCATCTGGGGCCCTACAAACCCTCCTCAGATCCTGAAATTACAACTCCTGATCTCTTTCTTATACATGCTTTGCTCATTCTCCCAAACCAACACCCAAGAAAAGAGTACAGATCCACAATCCTTTATTCTCTAATTAAGAAATGTGAAAATTTCTGAAAACCAAAAAAATCTGAAACTGTTTGTGTGAAACTCAACATAAAGTTATTGGGTAGTCAAACCTGACCTGGAAGGATTGGAATCTTCATGGGGTCTGTGCTTGCCACCATTCAGTGTGAAGATTCATATTTAGCTGCAGAAATAATGTGTGCAATCCCTGGTGCTCCCTAAGGCCCCTTGGGGGTATTACATAATAAAAATGCCCTCATTTCTACAGCACATTTGACTTCTAGCTCATCAGGTGAGGGTAGGTGGCCTCAAATTGACAATTACAGAGCAGAACAAGCCACCACTGTGTCAGTGTTAAAATTCAGAGACCACCCTGAACCAGAAAAGGCAAGAGATAATGAAGGGTTACAAATCTTTCTACTAGAGACAATTATGGAACAACCCCAAAGGTAAAGTCTCGGTCAACAAGTGCCACTGAATGCCCTAGCTTTTGCGTTGCAATCTGAAGACCCAGAGAACCTTAGATATAAAGGGAACTGGTACCTCCCAAGTCCCCAAATGATAGGAAGCTGCTAAGGAAGATGATGGACACTTCCCTGGATCACGTGACTAGGGCAGGTCCCTGTATGATGCCTGCTTGGAGGGGAGAATGAATCAAAGAGGAAAGCAGGGCAGAGTCGAGAGCTGGAATTAAAAACATCCTCTTTCTTAGTTCAAGAAATAGGCTCAGGTCTTACAATGGTTTGCTCCTAAAGAGCATCCTTTTCTCTGAGAAGGCAAGTGGGGAGTGGAGCAGGTGGTGGCCTCATACTGATATTCAACAGGCAAGTACAGTAGCAATGATCAATAAGAGGGTACACATTCCAATAGCTCTGCCCTCCAAGTACTTGCTCTTGATGGAGTTTCTGACAGGAAGGTCACAATGACATAACCCCATGGGCAGAATGTGTTCCACCAAACATGAGAAATTTTTGTGATAGAAAATATTTTTGAATCTCAAATCTGGAAATCCTCTCTCAACCCCTCTTGCAAATAGTCTTGCTGGTTCACACTGATTTAAAACAGTGTTTGTTTTCCCATTGGACGATATAGCCTCCTTGCAGAGGTAGCACCTGTCAGTCTCATGAGGAATCTCTAGCTGCCCTAGCATGTCCGGGGCCCTCTAATGGTGGAACTGATCAACCTGGGGCAGGTTCTTCCCTCTCTGCTCTGGTGCTGTCAGGGCTGCTTCCTTCGGATGAAACTGCATTTGAATTGTTGAAAACAAAAGGTTCAATTGTTTCTTAGAATTTTCCACTTACACAGCTATCTAGTGAGGTGTAGAAAATGGCACATGATAAGAGCTATCATCTCTTGAAGAGCGAGTACAATGTGCTAAGCAGTGAGCTACACAGGAACTCTATGAGGCAGTTATTATTTCTGTTTTACAAATAAGAAAACTGAGTAAAAATGGCAATTGTGCCGGGGGCGGGGGGGGGGGGGGGGGGCAGGCAGAGAAGAAAGGGCCCATATGTCCCTGAGTGTCAGTCTATAGGGGTATAACAAAGAAGCTAGTCTTGCAATTTTCATCATAGCTTCTAGGTAGAGAGGGTAAAAATGACTATATTGGGCTGGGGCTCCATTTACCCTCACCTCATCATTAATATTTAGCAACTTCATCAAAGTCACATAGCTTTTTAGTTACTAACTGAGCTGAGATTTAACCTAGGTTTATTGACTTAAAAGCCTGTGTTCAAATTAAATAATCAGCTATTGGACACTTGGGGGCAGCCTTGTGACCCAAGCATGAAGAAGAGCTACCTTAAGTTGGGGAGAAGAAGAACAATCACCAGATAAGACCAGAACTCCAAGATCAAATGATGGCTTTGTCCATGAGTGCATAACTATTTGGGTCAGATCTTCCCTGGGGTGATTTTCTGTACAACGGCTATGACTGGACCCATGACATCCCAGAGAAGAGAAAGATGGGTTAATTAGGTGCAAAATCCCCCATCTGAGGCTGTAACTTTTCCTTGAGACCTCAGCATAGAGCCCCCTTCTAAGTGGTTTCCCATAGCTCTTATCATTAAAGATGGAGGTAGGAGCTACCCGAAATAACAGCACACTTGTTTATGGTCCCGGGGAGTTGGCCATGTCTATATATACATTAAGAACAATGGTCGGCATTGATTTCTGCTGAAGTCACATAGCACATTCAGTCTGCCCAGAGTGACACTAAAAGCCAGGCTCAAGTGATCAGTTAATGGCTCCATCTGCTATGCAATGATCTCAGCTCACAGGGGGAGAGGCCCTCCAGCCTTTCCTGAGAACACTGGCTAATTCCTCAGAAGACAACTGAGTCGAACTTATTCTATGAGCTTGAAATGTTAGCACAATTGGTCTTTTGTGTTCCTCTGCACACCGCAGGTCCAGAAAATCCCGAGAGAAGATGATCAGCTGAGCCAATTTAATCTTATTTGTTCCTCCCCCGCCATTCTTGCTATTGTAGGAATTGAGTACTAATTATCAGAGAACCTCAGAAAGGAACTTTAAGAAACAGGATTTGAACAGTCTCTAATGAAGATTTCCTATAAATCTCAGCTAATGCATTTTTCATTCAGACCTGATGCATGTCCATTCTGGATTTTCACTCCTCTTGGGCAATGACTGTATCTAATGGCTCTGGAAGTTCAAATGGATTTGTGGTTCAGGAAAGATGGAGGATAAGGGGAGGCAGACAGCCTTGCTCTCATGTCAGGAATCCCTAGGGAGAAAACAATGAAGATCCATCTGAGGCCTGAATTTTCTCCTGGCACAACTCTACCACCCTCATAATATGGTCTGGGAAGCAGTCTCATTACTTTATAGTTATGAGATAGAATGGTGGAAAACTAGAAGCCTGGTTAAATTTGGATTCAATAATTCACTTTGTTTTTAAGAGATGGGTCTAGTGAAGTCAGTAGAACTAGATTTGGATCTAGGCTTGGTAATTTAATAGATGCATGACTAAGTAAATTAGGTGAACTTTGTGAGCCTCAGTTTCTTCATCTGTGAAACAGACATAATCCTATTTTGCAGGATTCAGCTGACAAAATACAGGTGAAGTTCAATCAAGATTTTCTATTCTGATATGTGGATGCTAATCCATAATGGGGATGTGGGGGGAGCATGGGAGGAATGGAGGAACTTTAGATAGGGCAAAGGGGAGGGAGGGGAAGAGAGGGGGTAGGAGAGATGGTACAATGAGATGGAAATTATTACCCTAAGTACATATATGAAGACACAAATGGTGTGACTCTGAACAACCAGTGACATGAAAAATTGAGCTGTATATATGTACTATGAATTGAAATGCATTCTGCTGTCAAGTATGACAAATTAGAATAAATAAATAAATTTAAAATTTAAAAAAAAGATTTTCTATAACTCTGAGCTAACTTATTTCTAACTCAGAATCAGTCGAGGTATTTATTCTGAAACTCTTAAAATGCCTCTGAAAGAGGAAAAATGCTGAGCATTTGATATATGACAATTAGCAAATAAATCTGTGTGCCTGCATGGGTGGGTGTATGATCCATCTTATTTGGGCTTAAAGTTTCATACCTAAGTATAAGAAGCAGTCTTAAAAAATAAGACTGAGTTGGGAAATAATAGTTAGTGCTCAAAAATATATTTATTTAATAAGTGAATGAGTGGATGAGCCACGGGCACCCTTACAGACTGTTTCTTACACATCTGTAGTATAAGAAGCACACCTGCTCTCCTTTGATGATGTCCACTGAGCAAATGCAGCCTCTGGAGCTCTCAGAAGACAGACTAGACAAACTAGACCCTCGTTACAGCCACTTAGGTAAGTGCTCCACTGTGAATGTCAGTCATGGAAGTCAGAAAGGGGTGTCTCTGCCATACGGCTTTCAGGCAAGTCAGAAAAGAGGCCCCTGAAACCTGATAGACTATGCCTTCTGGTGACAGCCAACACCAGCTGGACGGGCAAATAGCCATGGGTCTGTGGGGTCTGCCATGTAAATATTAGCTGAAGCACTGGGGACAGGTTCATTAGAGTTAAAGAGAGAGAGAAAGAGGAAGCATTGTCCTCTTTTGTGGGTCTGCTAGAGTCCCAGGCAAAGCATTTTTGAGGCAATAAATGGGATGTGGCAGTAGAGGTTGTTTCCAGTATTTCCCGGCACACTTACACCCCATGTGCAGTGCCAATAAAATATTTCAAATATCTCTCTTTGCCTATCAAGACAGAATTTTAAATAGCCTTTTTCTGTTTTATTGTCAATCTGTTTCCTTTCCAGAACTGACTTTTTGCATAACCTTTGTAATGAAAATACCAGAAACATTTCTGCCTCTACCCATTTCTAAAAATGAGACACTCAGACTTTTGATGGATGGGCCTTTTGCATATTCATAGCCTTTGTTTATGCCTCGCCCGGTTATGACTCCCCCCTCCTCTTCCCACTCCCCATTTGCCATCAAGATATTTTATGTTCAGAATTTCTCCAAAAGTGGGGAAAAATGCAATTGAAGTTAAAGTATAAACTGAAGCAAATGTCTTGCTCTATGTACTGTGTGCAGAGTAGTGCCTTAGGGTCAAAGGGTGGCCCACACCCCTGACAGGTACATTGCCAGGCTGAGCCCCCAGAGACCCCACAGCTGGGCAACACCCATTCTAAGCAACATTCATTCATTCAGTAATTCATTCATTCCTACCTATGGTATGTACAATATGGGAGAAATTAACTGTGCTATGGGAGAACATGTTTTAAGAATTGCTCTTTTAACCAGGCATATGAAGACTCACAATTCCAAGAGCCCAGGTTTAATTCTGATCCCATAACCTGCCATCAGTGTCCCCTTCTGCCTTTTATTTGACATTTTGAACCTCATTTTCCTTATCTGCAAATTGGGGATTAATAGTACACTGTTTTGGTAGGCTTCTTTTGGAATTAAATGAGATGATGTGTTCAGGAATGATAGTAGTGTTCTTAACAACCAGGAAAGCACAGGCAGAGATGAATCAGAAAAACCGCTGGCCAATCTTGTGTGCTGGAATGACACGGAATGACCTAGAACATAAGTGATACTCAGTAAAGGCTCCTTTACAGCCTTTTTATTGTATATATAAACTTTGTATAATCTAAAGCCTCATATGTAGTATGACTTCATAAATGTTTATTAAATGGAGATGATTGGATGAAATTTTCAAAATCTTTTAGGCAAAGGAAATGTTTATTACTATGCATGTGACTGAGGAAAATAATGTTATTTGATTTGGGGGTTACATATAGTGACCTTTTGATAATACAGGCATACTAATGTATGGTTACCAAGGGATGGTGGTTTCCTCAGGCATGTTGAATTTTCTAAAACAAAGGATAATTGTTTTAGAAACAATTATTTCTATTGTTTGCCCAATAAACCATAAAACTTGAAGGCAAGAACAATCTACTCGTCCTTTTTTATTCCTAGACTCTAGCAGGGCCTGATATACACTAGAAGCTTAATAAACATTGATTTTATAAATGAACAAATGACAGATCCATAAATGTCCAGATCCACAAACTAAAATGAAGAGATTTGACCTATTTAATTTTCAATGTTTCCAAGAAATTTACCTGAATATTTTACTGAAAAAGAAACAGAGAAGGAAAGAGAAAGAGAGGAGAGGAAAGAGGGAAAGAGGAGAGGGAGGGAGAGGCAGGGATCTGAAAGACCCAGTTAACCTCTGAATGTCCCCCATGTTCCTTCACATTTGTAGATCTAGCCAGACTGCATTCAGGTTATGGCTCAGAGTTTCCAGAGAGGACAAATATCCTGGTTGTTTTGTGGAATTGGCTTCTTTGAATCCCAACAGAATATCTCTTTACACTAAACATGTTGGAGTCTATTCATTCAATCATATATTCAGCAAACATTTGATTATGGCTGCTAAGGAGATGAAAGACAAGATGCTATCATTAAAAAAGGGAAGAGAAGACCTGCACAAATCAAAACTACATCAGTAAATTCCTCACCCGTCTTCACTTCTATGGCCAGAAGAGGCCTCCTGCTGATTCACGCTCGGGCTTCATCATTTGTCACCTTTAACAACTTTGAAGGTGTTACTTGAGCAAAAATTCTGTGACTATTCAGAAAATGAGAAAGGCCACACAGGACTGGAGTTTGCATGGAAAGACTGATGAAGAGGGGGCCTTCCTCTGGGCCTGGTGGAACTTTAGGGGCTGAGCCATGGCAGAGGGAACATTTTATTAAAACATGTGAAATATATCAAATGTATCAGATGCTTTGCTGCTAACATGAGCAAACACACACACACACACACACACACACACACATACATTCACACATTGATTTAATATTATCCTTGCTTTAAGTATTGAGAGACTATTAAAGTTCCTACAAATTAAGGCCATGCTCCCACAATTGGCAAATGAGAGAATTAGGACTTGGACTTGGGGTGGCTGATTCTCATTCAACATGCACTTATTGAAGGGAGAGGCCATTAAGAATAAAATTGCATGAAAGAATCTATTCCCTGATGTCTGGGAAGATGCTGAATAGAGCAACAGATGAATCACTTGGAGCAGTGAATGAGGGCCAGTGACAGAGAAGGATGAAGGAGAGCAGTAACAACCTTCAGGGGCCACGAGTAATGATCTGATGGAAGTGAGGTAGCCGCAGGACTCCAAAGGCTCTCCTGAGGTCCTGAGGGGACTAAGAAAAAGAAAGAGATTTAGAAGAAGAAAAAAGGGCTGGGGCTAGGATGGGCAAATAGGAGAGCTGCCAGGCCAGGGAAAAGAAAGATGAGTGGTGGAGCCCCATGTGAACCATCAGGAGGACACGCCTGTCCCAGAAGCGAAAGAGAGTCAGGAATTTACTGAGAACCTCAGGGAAACTTCCCAAGATCAAGGGAGCTGCAGGTTCCACACGGACCCTTGGGGTGTCTAAAGAGAACAAACCTCGGGCAAAGGAAATTGAGCATTAGCACAGAGAGCCTACCCCGTCAGAAACAACGCACACCCACGCTGAGGTCTGCCCAACCATCTTTTGAAGTTCTTCTTTGTCTTGCTTTTCAAATTCTCTTAATTGGGGCTTTCACAGAATTCCAGTTTTCCTTTCTCTCTATTCTAGTCTATACTTGAGTAGATCATTCTGTAAGTCTACTTAAGTCCTCTGTTGAAGAGACAAAAATAATAAACATTTTCCTTTTTCAGAACAAATGACCTCTGCTCCCAGTGTGGGACTAACCCTTACTCATGTTATATTCTTCTACTTTTTTTTTTTTTGGCTTCATATCCTGTCAAAAGCAGATGATCTTTCAGACCAGTTCATTAAGGACTGTGATCTCAAAAAGAAGCCAAGAAAGGGGAAGAACACACAGGCCAACCTGAATGTTGAGTCAGACCAAAAAAAACCAAGGAGGAAAGATACACCTGCCCTGCACATCCCACCTTTTATACCAGGTAATGGACAGCACAGCCGCCTTGCACAGCTGGGAAGGGGAACCACCCCCACTGGACCATGTTGGTCCTAACACATCTTTTTAAATATTTGGGTATTTAAATGCTAAATAACAGCTATGCAGTACTATATTTATAATGCAGTATTTTTCACTCACTGAGAGTGGACTTTGGGGACAGAAAAGCATGAACTGCTCCAATTATTGGGGGTCCATCTGATGGGCTCTGATATTATCAACAGACAGTGAATAAAGCCACCACAAACTTCCAAAGCCATCATGCTCATCAACATTCAGCAGGCATGAGGCATTGGGGAGGAGGATTGGTGGGGAGATGGGTGTGAGACAATCACAGGTCACACCTGACTACAAAGGAGGCTGGAAATATAGTCCAGCTCCATGCCCAGGAAAAACATGGAGCAGTTTGATGAACAACTAACATGTCTCTCTATGAGACCTGAGATGTGACATGTGACACTCCCTTATGCTCAAAAACTTTATTTGTTTGGTTTCTTTCTCCTTCACTCTTGGTCATTTCCTTCTTGTCCTTTCTACTCACAACATACTTTGAGGGGTACAAAACAAATGAAACAGATATTTCTGGGAAGGAACTTTCCTATATGTAAGAAATAACAGCCCAGACACACCTGAAATCTGCAGTAAGAAGAAACATCACGGGCTGGGATGGAACTCCGTTGTAGAGCACTTGCCTAGGCTGCCTGAGGCCCTGGGTTCGATTTCCAGCACTGTTAGAAAAGGAAAAGGAAGGAACATCATAATGGAAGTTCTAATTAAGAACCAGGGAAAATGAGTCTGGGTAGTGAGTTCTGATTTTTAGAGCATTATTAAATGATGGAGAAAATTTTCACCTGCAGAACAGAGGTGAGAAGGCAAGTAGGTGAAGGTGGGTGGAGGTAGGGCAATAATTAAAGTCTAAGGGTAGAAGTGTGAGGCACAGAACTTGCAGAACAGAAAATTACCCCACTGGCTAAGGAAGATGAGCTTTGGAGACAAAAAAATCCAGGCTCAATCCCCATCCAACACCTAGAAAATGGAATAAATTGAGCCCATTTCTTTAGCTCACCTATCATCTCAGGTAGATCATGGTGGTGGTAGTACTAAATCCCTCAGGGATTTATGAGGCTAAAATGAAATCAGGCATGCAAACCCCTTTGTATAGAGGATGTTCCTAGTGCAGTCTGCATAAGTATTATTCTTACGCTAAGGAAACTTCATTTATTAAAATAAGTTTGGGAAATCAACCTTGACTACCTTCACCAGGTGTATGTGCTGTGTTATGCACAACCCTTCTGTATGGGATATGTTCACTTGACCCTGCTGCTATCTCTCTGTTCCCCTAACCATGCAGGTGTGATTTCAGAACATCTAATTAAAAGATATGATGTTCAGGACAGACGTCCAAAGGGCAAAATAAACCCAGCTCTTCATAACTCTGACCTGGAACAGAAAAGGCCAAGGAGAAAAGACACACCTGCCCTGCACGTGCCCCCCTATGCAGCAGGTAAAAGAGCAGGAGGTGGTGGGAATGGGTAGGGAGCCTGACCATCTGGAGGTACTGGGACATGGTCTTTGTCCTGGCCCAGCAAGCTCGGTCTTGCCCAAGTTCTCTAGGGAGGAGTCACATTTACTGCTGCCTCTCAGATTTATCTTCATTGGCAGCTCCCCGGGGGATGACCTGGAGATGCCAGAGGCTCAGAGATTACTCCTGCTTCAGCAGAGCTGGTCAAATTCACTGAGCCAGTGAAACAGAAATGTCAGTGGGTCCTTGAGAACTGGTGAAATACCCTTCCCCGTCTCAAGTGGATCGTGTGTCCAGTAACTGATGGCTGATCCTCCCAAGTCACATGGACTAATTGACCAAGTTCTCAATATAGGAGAGAGAGGAAGGGAGGAGAGAAAGAGAAATGCAGAAATACTGATAGCTATCTTATTATGTATCCAACAGAAAACCTTACTGATCTGTGTTTATAATCCCAGGCTATAAGGGAGACTCTGTATGAGGTATAGTTCTTGTCCCTGAGAACTTTATATGCAAGTTAGGAAATAAAATGTGTACACTCATGATGATTAGAGTGTGAGACTGTGTGTGTGTGTGTGTGTGTGTGTGTGTGAGAGAGAGAGAGAGAGAGAGAGAGAGAGAGAGAGATTGAGAGATACAGATGGTTTTGTAGGGAGAATAGCAAGTGAGAGATGTACTAATATTTACTGAGAACCCACAAAATGTAAGAAATGGCTTGTATCATGGATTTTTAAAAAGTCTACTGAGTAATGTAACAGAGTAGCTTTTACCTCCCTTTATAGACAGAGAAACAGAGAAACAATTTAATTCACTTGTCAGACGGTTTAAAGTCTTACCTGGATGAGATGGATAGATGGAAGGATGGATAGAAGGATGGCTGATTAACGGCTGGACTAATGATAGAATGACCAGATAAATAAGTGAATCAATCAAGGTTAAACACTACTAGGTGGAACAGCTGGAGTTCAAACCCAAGTCTCTCCGGCTTTAGCCAGGTTTTTACTGTACTGTGGGGTGGTTTGGACTTCTAGCATCATAGGAATGCAGAAGTTCCACTTTTGGAAGGAGATAAGATTTGATTGTTATTAAGAGTTTTCCATTATTTAATTTTTTTTTTTTGGAGGGGGTACTGGGGATTGAACTCAGGGGCACTCGACCACTGAGCCACATCCCCAGCCCTATTTCTTATTTTATTTAGAGACCGGGTCTCACTGAGTTGCTTAGCGCCTCACTTTTGCTGAGGCTGGCTTTGAACTCAAAATCCTCCTGCCTCAGTCTCTTGGGATTACAGGCGTGCACCACCACACCCAGCATTCCAGTATTTAATTTAATAAAGGAGGAAAAAGACATCTCAGAAAAAGACACCATGACAAACGAGGTCAGGGCCTCTAGATCTCCAAGCAAGCTAGAGAGACGAGTCCCAAGTTCCACAAAATTTGTGTTCTCTGTCCTTCCCTTCCTTTCATCCCCCTCATCCTCTCTTTCCAACTCTTTTTCCTTTCATTCATCCTTCCTTCTTGACTACTTACCTGTATATCAAAATGTATGTGACCCCACCTGGTCATGTTTAGCAGTATTTCTCCCCAAACCCCCCCCTCCCCCCCCACACACACTTATATCCACACTCATTTCTAGTGACCAGCCTTTCTGAGCTCTGACTACATGTAACCTTTTAACATAATAAATTGTACTGATAACACAAGAAGTTTAGAACAGGCAGAAGTCTAATCCTCAAACAACCCTCAGTATTTTAATGGATATTTATTAAATCCTTGCTGTGTTCTAGGCACTGATACTGCAAGAAAGTCAATCATCATAGAGTTAGCCAGACACAATAGTGCATGCCTATAATCCTTGGGAGGCTGAGGCAGGAGTTCAAAGCCAGCCTGAGGAACCTAGTGAAGCCATATCTCTAAATAAAATATAAAAAGGGCTGGGGATGTGGCTCAGTGGTAAAGTGTCCCTGGATTCAATCCCTGGTACCAAAATAGTAATCATAATCATAATTGTACAAAGAGACAATAGAATCTCTCCTAGGGATAAATGCTAGGAAGAAAAGTAAAGGTGGGTATGGAAAGAGGAAGAGAGCTAGAGACTGCTTCCTGAGTAGGGAGTGCAGGGAAGACTTCTCTTATGAGGGGACACTGAAACAGAGACCTGATGGGGAGTGTGGGAGGGTGCCATGGGGATAACTGGGCGAAGAGTATTTGAGCCAAAGTGATGAGTTCAAGTGACCACAAGTGGCAAAGTCTTTAGCCTTTACTCCCTCAGTATTTATTGAGAACCTACTATGCGCTAGGCACTGTTGGGAGTGCTAGACATACATTAGAAAACAAAACTAAAAAAAAAGTTCTTGTCTTCCCCGAGTGTATATTCTAGGTAGGGGAATATAATAACTAAATATTTGGTCCTGAAGCAGAATTAACACATATTTTCCAAAACTCACTCACAGGTAGGCAAATTGTAAACCACGAGATAACTCGCTCAGAGAGAAGGATGGTTCCCATGACTCCTTGTATCACTTGCCTGGGCAAGATCTGCATTAGCCTCTTCCTTCCCTCATTTGTCTTTTACTTCAGTCAACAGAGGTGTCTGAGCACAACTCTCCTACCTCATGCAGGACTTGAAGGAAGAAGCCGCTCTCCAGCCTCTAACGGGTACACAGAGAGCAAGCCAGGGGCAAAATCCTTTCTTCTTTCACAGTAGATTTGCTATTGGAAAAGGAGTCCAGAGACCTTGGTGTAACTGACTGAAGAATAATAGCCAATAGTTACAATTTATCCATTCCAACACTTAACCAAAGGAAGAAGGAGTTGTTACATGGTGATATTTCCATGGTAGAGCTGCACCCGTTGATGCAATAATAAAATATCTGATAAGTCTTGCATCAAAGTAATCATTTTGACTTATGTAACCCAGATGAGCAAACTCTGATCCATTGCCATGATTTTTTTCCTGTTTCCTATTAGTCTACTCATTCTATAGGTTATGCTGCAATATAGGAAATTCTACTTTAGAATTGTGTATGACTTAAATCGATTTTCTTTTCTTTTTTCTTCTTCTTTTTTTTTTTTTTTGCCTCTGTTAAATATTTCTGTCCTTAAATCAAATGAAAAGGAAAGAAAGGCACAGACTGTAACACATGCTTTCTCATTTGCAAATAAGGGGCAGAGCCAAGCAAGATAGTGTGGAACATACAGACAATTCTCAGGAGAAATGGACCAAGGATGGGTGGGAAAGTCTACTCCTGCTCAGCTACACTGCTTTCCCACCTTTACTGACCCTCAAACTGACACACATTTTCCCCCAGCTCCCCCGGTCCAGGTCCCAGTGACCTCAGCCAACTCAAAGCCTCTGTTAACCGATCTTTTCAAGTCCAAAATGACTTTTTCTTTTCCGAACTAACTCTTTACTAGACATGGGCATGCAAATACCCAAGACTCTGCCATTGTTGTTAGTATGGTCTTTTGTTCTCATTATTGTTATTATACCTGTTACGTAAATTGACCTACGTCAACAGCTTGTTTGCTGAATTCATGAGGACTGGGTTGTGATTCAATCACCTTATGTTTCCGGTATTGACCTTGATATCAGCTAGTCCAATCCTTTCTATATAGCAGTGCTCCATAATTATCTGCTGATTTGATATTCTACCTGTCAATCATGATTCTGCAGTACCTGATAGAGACTGATTATTTTCTACCCATTCTTGTGTTTATTTTACTACCACAGAGTTAGTAGAGAGAAAAAAATATTTACAGGCAGGGAGCCATCTGACTACATAAAATTTTGCACGGGCTTTGAAGGCAAGAAAACTCTATATTTCCTTTTCTGCTCCTTAGTACTTTCAAAGCTCTGAAAAATGAACACAACTAAGAACTTTTTTTATTTCATCCATTCCTAAAAGGGGGGCTATAAAGGCTATCTCAAAGCACTGAGAACACTATTAAATAAAGTGTCAAAGCACTTAGCAGAGTTTTTGGCATATTGAAAGTCCTCAATAAATGGTAGTTCCTCTTCATTTTCTGTTTAATCTTATATTCTTTGAGATAGGTCAAACAATTTCTGAAGATGAGAATTCTCCTACTTCGTACAAACCTGCTGATTCAGGGAACCTCCTAATTGATTGAACTCTGATCACTTGGCAATGGATGTTGCCTATATGCCACTACCTAAATCCCCAATTAACAGCTTCCCCATTGAATCAAAAATGTTTATCAAATACTGCAGCATGTGTAAGGGTTGGACGGGTGCTGTATGGCCATAGACTTGACACTCATTATGGAAATTTTTGAGTCAGCAAATGTTTACATTTAAGTATGTGCAATTATAGATATTGTTGTATGATTCTAGCTTTTATTAGCATATTAGCTGAAGTTACTCTATTTTTGAAGAGCCTTTTAGTATCTAAAGATTTGGCAGTAATCAAAATGCTGGTTAAGCTGATAAGGATAGCGCCTTCGGCAGATGTTCAGAAAAACTCACGTTGGTTCTAATGAGGGTGTTGGGAGGAACTCACAGACAAATGCACCCTGGAGACATCTCCTCTCATTAGCCCTTGGCAAGGGAACACTGGACATGGATTCACTCTCCTTTCTAAGTCTCTTGCTAACCACCGTCCTTCTCCTAGGTTAATGAGCTCATTTGACAGGTTCCAACTGCCAGAATAGCCCCTCAATAGGGTATCTCAGGCTCTCTTGCCAGCTCCAGGCTTGCTCCCAACTTGGTCCACAGTTTGCCAGGACCCCCATCTTGATGATTTCATGGCAGGGACCACTAGTTGTGATTGGTCAGGACCAGGTAACCAAGCATTGCTTAAGAGAGAAGGAAGTCTTGAGTTGGGGTCTGTAGCAAATAGAGCCAAGCATAGCTTGGCTAGGAGCATGAAAGAGGAACCTGCTGGAAAACTGGTCCATAAGCTTTGAACATCTGGCAGTCGAGGGGAATCAGACATTAAAATAGTGTGCTTGTACAAAGGAAAGGGACTGGTTTGTCCTTTGAAAGTGACACCTCCTCTGTCTTGCTTGTAATAACGTATTTTCTAAGATGGTTAGTTAGGACAGGGGGTGCCTTCTCTCTGGCTCCTATAGGTCAGAGGTACATGACTATAATGTGGATGATCAGTTGTAGATGGTGCTGTACATGGGATCCTGCTCAAAAATAGCTCACTGCAAGGCTGATTGACCCTCAGAGGTCATTTTCAAATCACCAAAGCATCAAGAACAACAATGCAGTGGTAATATATATATATATATATATATATATATATATATATATATATATATTCCCGATTTAAAGCTCAACCTGAACAATAATATCCATGAAGTCAAGATTTTGATAAGCTCCTATGTTAGCTTTCTGTTACTTTGACAAAGTACTTGAGAAAATTAACATAAAAGGAGGAAAGATTCAGTTTGTCTCACAGTTTCAGAGATTTCAGTTCTTGGTCCTTGACTCTGCTGCCTTTGGGCCTGTAAAAGCAGAATATCATGCCACGAATGGTGTGATGCAATAGAGCGACTCACCTCATGATGGCCAGGAAGCAGAGAAGAGAAAGAGAGAGAGAAGGACCCAAAGGGGCCAGTGTCCCAATATCCTCCTCAAGGGCATGCCCACAATGACCTAACTTCCTCCCACTAGGCCCCACCTCCTAAAAGTTCCATCTCCTCCCAAGAGTGCTGTAAGCTGGGGAACAAACCTTCAATACCTGAATCTTAGGGGGGACATTTAATTAAGCTCCAAATCATAACACATAACTTTATTATAAAACATTAAAATTACTGTTTAGCTACACAAATATAAAACAGTGGCTCACATTTTTTTTGTTTGGTATAATTAGTTATACATGGCAGTAGAATGCACTTTGACACATCATACATAAATGGAGAATAACTCCCATTCTTCTGGTTGTACATGATGTAGAATTACACTGATCATGTAATCATATATGTGCATAAGATAATTTATGTCTGATTCATTCTACTATTCTTCCTTCCTCCATACCCCTTCCCCTCCTTTCACTCCCCTCTGTCTAATCCAAAGTACCTCTATTCTTCCCTAGCTCCCACCTTATTGTGAATTTGCATCCGCCTATCAGAGAAAATATTCAGCATTTGGTTTTGGGGATTGACTTATTTCGCTTAGCATGGTAGTTCACTTTCAACTTGAAATGACCTCATGTGCTCCTATGGGTAGTCCACTCCACTTTAGGAAGCATCAGCCTTTATCATTTTGTAGGTTCCTCCTATCCTTGAAATCCCAGGACCTCCCAACCCCCCAACCTTTGGCCCAGATTCTCATCTTACTCTATGTCAAGGATACCCAAAGTAACCACAAAGCGTACCAAGACCTGGGACTATAAAGGCTCTCACCCATTTTGAATCAACCTACATGGAGCTTAATATAAAGACATATCCAGGAAGGAAGGATGAAAAGTTTCAGAATTCAACATAGCTAAATCTACATTCCCCTACTAGGCTATCTTAAATTCAAGTAAAAATCCAATCCTCCACGCAGCTGGTATCAGAGAGAATATCTCCCACTGTGTTTCATACGTGATTTATGCAAAAGCTTTAGTTCCAGCCAGACTCTTGAAATTGTTTTTCTCCTCCAATAAATATTAGCTAATTGGTAAGGAACCCATCTGAACAAACTAGGAACTGAATCAAATGAATAGTCATTAAGATTAACACATAGTTTTCATTAATTTGCCACTGTTGAATGGAGTCCAGTGCTATAGAAAGGCCTCTTGTGGTGCTCAGCTTCCTCCCTCAAGTTTAGATCTTTATGAACTGCTTCATGGACTGGAGCCTCTAATTACGAGAGGAAGGAGAGAGGGATCCAAGGCAAGGGTACAAGACACAACTGGGGGCTGGAATGGGAGGACAGGACTGGCCTCAGTCACAGTTCCACTGTCCTTTGTTAAAATGATCCTACTTGACTCTTCATAGGGTGAGCAGAACTTTCCCGACCTCCTCGGCTGGACTTTTCTGAGCTAATCAGCCTAGAAAATTGGGCTCAGAAAAGAAATTCAGACTTCTGAGTTTCATAGACCAGAAAATTCTTTAAGAACAAAATACCATGGGGCCCAACAGAGGGATAGCAACTTTTTTTTGAGTAAGAATGAGAAGAAACAATCATCTAACATGTCTAAAATTTTTTAAAAGAAAAAGATATTTTAATCCTCCAAAGAAGACAAAGAGTCGTCTCAAAATAAAGAGCCCCTTTTTAAATTATAGCTATACAGTTATATGGAAAAACTCACCTCATTTTTCTTATTTTCCTTTTTTGCTCTAAACCATGTGAACCTCATCATTTCCTGGGACTAACATTTGGAAATGGCATGTCCAGCACCTTGGCTTAATATTTTCCCTGGTTGTTGGTAAAATATTTCAAAGCTTGACTTCATGAGGATGACCAGTTGCTTTGGGGGGTGGAGGTGGGGGGAGGGAGGGGCAGGGAGAAAGAAAAAGAAAAATGCATTTGGTTGTTCACAAGTATGGTTCTTTGCTAAGTGTGTTATATTTACCTTAGTTAACCCAATAACACTTTATAATAAGCAGTAGTGTTCTCATTTTAGATTTTCTCATATGTAAAATGAGATTAAGAGGGTGGCTGAACTAAGCCCAGTGCAATTGAACTCCAAAATCCCATGTTTTCCATCCTATAGTACTGCAAGCTTAGGATCAGAAATCAGAGAAAGAAGGTGAAGGTTGTCTCTGACTCCCAGGCTTTGCATCCCCTTGCACCCAGAGTGGTGCCCTCATTGAGCACCTTGGGAAGGCCAAATAAGGCCACCCAGTACCCTCTCCCTCAGCACAGATGCTAAACGTTTCTAGGTTGCTGAGCTCCTGTGTCTGCACTACAAGGTTGTCTAATATTTGAAGCAGAGGCACTTAATTGCAGCTCTGTGCTTTGTTTTGCAGGTGTGAGACTGCTCAGGGACCAGAGACCCAAAGCGATTGTGGAAGATGACGAAAAGGATGGTGACAAGATAGCTATTTAAAGATATTTCCCCTGAGATCACTTGTAAATAGGTTAGATTGGTTCCCTATGGTGACCTAGGGAAAAAAATAGACTTGTTTCTGTTCGCATTTTGTCCTAGTCTGACGTTCAGATCTAGACACCTCCTCCCCAAGAGACATACTACATCAGATTGCCAGTCACCTCTGCTGTCTTTTTTTTCTTTCTTGAGTCTGGTTTCTATTCCGACTCCTTACATTTTCATTTTCCAATGCATGGGAAAAGAAACAGATCATCCCAAATTAGGAGTTAACAGGGAAAGCTCGGGGATTCCATTTCTGCATCTTCTGGATCAATTCACAGAGCAGAGAACATGCATACCAAGGGTATCCTTTGTGGCTGGTTCATCTGTTAGTCAGAACTTACCATCCAAATACCAGTTCTAGTAGGGGCTCCCTATTCCAGCTGGGGAGGTAAGAAGGTTTGGTTCTTAACTCACTGATTGCTTTGGAGTCTTATTTCTCCTGCCCTGACTTGAGAGTCCAGTTCTTTTGGCGCTCCTAAGAATCTTGTAACGGAAGCTGTAAAGGTGAATTTATGAACTCTAAGAGTCGACCCAGTTCCCCATGGCAGGGCTGAAAATGCCGGTAGCAGAGAGGACTTGTCTGTCTGGAAATTTTACCAACATATCCTCTTATTTATTTTTGTTGTTTTTTTTTTTTAAAAAAAAAACAACAATTCTTCACCATGGTTGTCCTGACATTTGAGAATTATGTCACAAGTGAGTTATTACTAATGGTGGGTAAAATATCAATGCTCATGATGGATTTACTTTTTATAAATTTAAGGCCAAATGAAGGTCATTCTCATATTTTTTGTCATTTCACTTATTTAGGTTCCTTTACAGTTTGTTACAGAAGTGAGGAAATTGTGGTGTTAGCCAGTGAGCAGTGGTCTGTATTTAGCTCCTGTCCCAGCTTCCAATCTGCGGGGTGCCTTTGAGGAATTTTGCAAATAGATCTCATCCATCAACCAATAGATGAGGAAAAAGGCGAGAACTACCATTAAAAATAAGAAAAGTCGATATTGAAATCATCATACTTCAGAGTGAGAATATGGAAGCTCTGTGTATTCCCTAGTTCCAACAGTTTATTAATTCCTTCTGTATTTCTGTTCCCCTCACAAAGAGGAAAAAGATGCAAGACAGCTGGAAATAAAGGTACTTCTATCCACATCTCTATGCCCTGGTGCATTTGTCCTGAAAGCACTACTTACAAAGAACAGAGGTTGCAAAAGAGGCTTCCAAGTCTTGGTTTTGGTTTGGTTTGGTTTGGTTTGGAAATGCTTGAATTAGCTGTTAATATGTAAAAACCCAATCAGGAGAACTTACACAAAATTCTAGATTTCCAGATTCTCTTGGAAAAAAAAAAAATCTCAAAAGCTGGTAACTTTGGGTCTGATTAGAATTGTGGACCTCCAGCAGGAGCTGACCACTGGATGCCCTTGTAGAAGAAGCTGGGTTCCCAGTTGGCTGTGGGCTATGTTCTCACACACTGTGTTTACCTCCAGCCTTTGCATGTAAGTTGAGAGCCCAGGAGCAAGGACCCGCATCCTATTCCCTGCCTTTGGATTCCAGCACTCCATTTCCATTCTGAACACCTCAATCCTAGTGTTGAGGGAGAGAAATAAAGTAATCAGGTTGCTGGTTGCAGCACAAATGGTTAAATAGCCTATAAGAAGCCAAAGCAGGGCTGGGGTTGTGGCTCAGTGGCAGAGTGCTTGCCTAGCATATGTGAGGCGCTGGGCTCAATTCTCAGCACCACATAAGAAAATAATAACAAATAAAATTAAAGTTATTACAACTAAAAATATTTTTTAAAAAGAAGCCAAAGCAATTATAGGTATGTGAATAGCAGGATTATATCACTACCAATAGCCATTTTTATCAAAGGATCCTTACCCAAAAAGCATACATGCACTCTTGTCCTATCTGATTTGCTTTATAAACATGTCCATAGGGTATAATTGACAACTTCTAGGCTGCTCAGAAAAGTCTCCATTATTTCTGACTTCCTGAGGTAGGGTGACTGTGTAGAAACAAAGATCCTGGTTCCAGCCCCAACTGAGCAAGTCCCTGGGACTGAGTCTGGCTCTTTTTTTTCTTGAAAATAAGGATAATAATTTTTGCTTTTCTTTTTTATAGTTTGAGAATTAAATGAGACAATGTGTGACAAAGAGCTTTGTAAGCTAAAATGCCCTCTCCAACTGTAGCACAGGACAATGTGAACACATCTTCAGAGCATGGACTGTGCCCTTTCCATGTTCGAGTCCCCACTGCCTGGGTGTTGAATGGGGAGCAATTTTGTAGAACTGACTCACCGCACTTAAAGAAGGATTTCAAGTAGGGAGACCCGGTCACTTTTCACAGTCTTCAAAGACCAGCCCTCTCCTCCTCTGTAGCCAGTTCCAGCCTCAAATCAGGCATACTAAGAATGGGAGGGACCAAACCAACCCAACCCTAACCAACCCAACCCTAACCAACCCTCACATTGCTGGGGTGATTTGGATGGAAGCCACTAAGTGGAGAGGATATGTCACATTCCTCTGCAAACTGCCTGTTATCTACAAGAAAATGCAGGCAGGATATAACATTGATAAGAGGAGACCAAGTTACTTTGAAGGGAGAGACTTTTGTGATTCTTTTCACAGACCAGATTTTGGAGGCAAGGATAATTCTGTGGTTAAGGATCCAATTAGAACCTCTGAGCGTGGGCTTAAGTGATAGAGTTGTCATGGCAGTGGAGACTTGAAAGTCAGATGTCACCCTGTTGTCAGCCAAAAGTCAAGAGGTGGACCTGGCAGGTTTCCCTGGAAACTTCCCTGAGATCCCCAATAAAACTGGAGTGCAGGACAGGCACATTATCCCTCTCCTCTCTGAGAGGACCCACTCTCTCCCTTGAGAGTGTCCCCTTCCCCTTTTCCTATCCCTTTAATAAACTCATTCCTGTTACTCTGAGCAGACATGTCTAAAATCTTTCTGACTTGTATAGGATTCAGGGTTTGAAGGGGGTCTTCATGCTGCCTCAGTTTCCTGGAAGGTCCACTCTGAACAGCATGGCATAACCCAACCCAACCCTAACCAGCCCTCACATTGCTGGGGTGATGTGGGTGGAAGCCAAACCTCCCTCATGTCCCTTGCCCCATGGGGACTGTTTTCTAGCTAGGTAAAGTAGAGGTTTAATTGTTAGGTTTGTATTCCAATTATAATGATTCTCAGTATGTTTTGAACAACTGCCCTCCAACCAAATAATAGTTCTACTAAAAGTATTTCATGGTATCCATTCAGAAAGAATGCTCAAATTTAAGGCGCCCCAACAGGACTGGCATACAGCAGCCATTCCTTCATGCTGAAGGCCATCTACCAGGACACGGAGCCCAGGCTGCTGAGAGGAGGAGGCACTGGAGAGACTTAGCTCCCTTTCAAAAGCCCCACACAGGGCCTTTCTATAAATCCATACAGCCTTTAAAAGCCATTGGCTGAGATCACACTGCCAGCTTCTAATGCCTAATTATCACTTGAAGAGGCAGAAGCTGGTGCTGATGGGTAGAGATAGGACCATAAAGGACTCAAGCAGAGTTTCCTTTTAAATGCAATGAAGTGAGTTTTCTCCCCACAGCCTTTGCTGTCCAGGTTCTCTTCTTTAAAGAAGGATAGGCTGAGATAGCATGCAGTCATGAAAATAAGTTAGTAAAGCAATTATTTTTGCCAGCTGAGAATCAGAGGCTAGTTACATGACGGATCTTAGAGAATCTCTGTCATCCAGTGTAAACAAGGCTCCCTTGCCACCTGCAATTTGTAAGTGTGAACATGTGTCAGAAAGCTCCCCAAGGCCATGAGAGAATGCACAGGAAATGGATGGGCTTGCAACTTCCTCCTCCAGTTTTCCAAGACTGCCTTTCTCTTATGATCTGTGCAGAGGCTCAGAACACACTGATGACCATGAATGATTCTTAACCCAAAAATCTGGGTGGAAGACTCTCCATAGGTAAATGTGCTCATAGGGAAAATCATGTGCGATTCAAAATCACCTCTGCCCTGGAAAATCCAAGATATCAGCTACCATTTCTCCAGAAAAAAAGGATGGGCATGCCCTAAGATAATGGAAACCTTCTGAGATGTCCTAAATTTTGTTATATGGACCAACAAATGGAGGAGGGGAGTGGGGGGAGAGATAACAGGTCAAACCAACAGAACTATTCCATGCTAAATGGAATATGCTAAAACCCTGGCTCAAATCCCAGGTTGCCTATGGACACAGGACATCATGTTCTGCTTACAACCCCCCACCAACCCAGAAACAGTAAGGGCTTCTCCTTATGATCTGTCATATTCCCAAACTCTCTCCACTCTGTTGTCCTTCTCCTCTTATTTACAACTAATGTTAGCCTGAGGCAAACTCTGATGCTTTCCTTCTCCAAGTTTTCTTTATAAAATACCCTTAGATCTGTGTCCAGTAGACAGCTTTCTGATTGCTATATAGACTTGCTGGAACTTCTATACACGTTTGCTGGAACTTGAACTATAGTAGAGTCCCAGGTTCTAGGACTGTGTCCTTTTATGGTTAACATTGTGAGGGTTCAACAAAACCTTTTATTTCAGAGTTCCATCAGTCTCAAGACTTTGGACTTAATAACCTAGAGTAACATGTCCTTCCTAGTAAGATGAGATTCCTTCAAGGAGGAATTGCAGGAGACTTCCTAAGAAGAAACAAGATATGGAAAACAGATTTGCTCCTCTGAAACCATGTGGCTCTTCCATCTGATGTCAGATATGTACCTTGAAGGCTAAGTAAAAACAGCAAATTTTAGATTTTTGTGTCCTTAAAATGTATGTGTTAAAGCTATAGTGAAACAATATATAATTTAATATTTATCAGTTAAATCATACTTAAAATTTATTACTTAACTCCTGAAGTAGTGCTCTTTGGAAAAGGAACAGTGTTCTCTGAGCCTTTGTGTTTGTTCAACATTTTTCCCATGTTA